TTCGCACCAACTTGTAGGGCATCAAGCTCATCAATCGCACTGCTCTTCGTACCTACATTAGCACTATGCAATACTCCGACCGAGTTACCAGTTTTCACGTAAGGTGCTTCATCTGCATACGCACTGTTGAAGTACCCAACAAGTGCTTCTTCCCCCAAGAAATAGTCTTGACCATTTATTCCATTTGGGTTGCCTCCAGGACGAACGTAGCGATAGCGCAAATCCAAACTTCTACTCGACGAGGGTTTATAGGACCATCCCACACGGCGTAACACTTTCCAAACGTCCTTGAAATTCACAGAATTATCTGTTGCATAAAATAAGAAACAAACATGTTATCACCTGCTACCCGTAGTCTATAGTCTAGTGACTATACAAGTGCCACACCTCGAGAAAGCTGTGGTGTGTTGCTGGCTTGAGACCTGCGCTGACGCTTTGAAGCCCGCTCAGCCATCTCTGCGCTCAGTTCCTAACTCCTCTAGCTCGCAGCTTTTCAGAAGTGAGGTCCAAATTGGACCTCCGAGATCCACTCTGCCTCCATGGAGCATCGCCACCTTCTTCCACTGTGGCAAGGCTGTCATTCACGGTACTGCACCTTGTGCCAATGTTGGGATAGAAGGAAGATTTTCGTGTGTTTTCGACGAATCATCAGTGCCGTCAATTATTTTCAGCAAATCATATTGCAGCAATCTGAACCATACATTATGTACTGTTTTGATTAAACCCTCTCAAATGCGATTAATAAGCTCGCAAAACCCCTTCGCAATTGATATACTAAAACCCTACATGATGTACCGTTTTGAAAGTTTAACTTGATTAAAGTATGTAAGGCTTAATATAGAAATGAATGGGGGTGACGAAAGGGTTAATTCCGGTATCCGGCACATCCGTCGCCAACGACTTCCGCGGCATAAGTTGCCTGAAATTAGTCCGTGCTTCCCGCAACTCAAGACACCAAAGGATCCATTTTTAGTGTGCGGATCAGTTTCCGAAAAGACCATGGCGCAGACCTTCGGACTGGATGAGGCCGCCATCCTGTCGCTACTAGAGGGCTGCGATATGGCGGAAAACGGGGACGCCATCGCGTCCGAAATGGTCAAGTCTTCAGATAGTCCGCAGCGTGTGTCGAAGCGCAGTTCATGGCGTCTTCAGCATCGGGATGAGCTGCTGATGCTGCGGAAGGCGGAGAAGCACCTGAGTGCAGATTTGCAGCAACTTAAGCACACAATGCGGATGAAACGCAGTCGCTTCGTGCTAATAAGCAGCTGGATTCGCTGATACGTGGAGCTTCTCGACGTGCTTTAAGCTGGGAAGAAATATGTGGCTGACAAATAGCGAGAAGGAGAAAAAGCGAAGAAGAGAATACAAAACTGATAGAAGAAATGACACTGAAAATACGTCAAGCGAATGAATTGCTTAAAGGATTCAAGAGACGACTACGGAACGAGGTACGAATTATTTCTTACTTGAAGTATATATTTATTAAAAACTCATTATTTTAAATACAGATTGTGGGATCGTCGATCATGTTATGCAGACGATATGGGGTGGATACGGGAGGAGTAACAATGCCGACGGACAATGATACAGTGTTTCACGAATTGTAACAGGGGATGGATGACATGTATGCACGAGTGGACGACTTTTTCCAACAAGTTGGAATGCATGAGGTGCCATGTCCTGGAAGAAATAATACAACGTCGAATAGCAGAGCGGAAGGGAAATTTGTGGAATTCTTGAATTGCTACGCAGTTCCATTCTGCTTGCACGACACGGAGAAAGCTGTTTGGAGGTGTATGGCCAGGGAAGACCCGCAATGCCCCAAACCTGCCTTTGTTCAGGTACACTTGTTTTTTTTTTGGTAATTGATAATATTATATAAATAGTTGTGGTCTCTAACGTGTTATCTTATAACTATGGCTACAGCACTTCGACACCTGCGAGAATACTCTACAGCAATGCTTGTGTAGTGCATTCACTGCGGGTAGTGTTCACGTCCGGGTGATTATACGCAAGGTTGGCCGGAAATATATCGAGCAAGATCGATCGGTGTTTATATTCAAGAGACTTATTGAACCAGTGGCAGAAATCCCCATTTCGTTTCAAGAAACCACTCGATTAATTGTTCAGCACGGCAAAGCGTCGGATCTCGGCCCAACGACGGTGATACAATCGCATCGACAGTCAACAGCAAGTCACGACGCCTACGCCCTCGGTGTTCGAAGTGTACCACGAAGTTTTATTGATATGGGCGTTGCGGCTTGGGAAAGCTCAATCACGCGCTTTAACCATTTTGTAGAGGATACATTGATTCAGGAACCTCGTGAATTTCATTAACATTGCGGTTTAATAAAGGTTAGCATTTAAACCCACTCACTTTCAAAATAACACGTGGACTCGCTTTTTACGACAATTTTTGAAAAATCATTTTATTATTGTCAAAACTGGAGCGATTTCTGCAGACCTAAATCTGGGGCGACATTCCCAGAATCTATTTTTTTGTGGAACATGGTTGTCACTTAACCTACTAGAAGTACCTAACGACACCCCATGACATTGACGACGGCTGTCTCAATCCACACGCCCTGCTTTATGCCTTACTGGCATAAGGCGACCTACTCCGCTTACAGCGGAGAGGCGGACCCCAAGAGGCCCTTATCCGATTCCCGCTGCAGCCAATGTCCTACGTCATTAGCCGCATGTGTGTATACCACTGCGACTCTCGTTAGAGCACAATTAATGACAACAACACAACAGTCTAACGGCACATTTAACGCGCTAAAGCACATTTATCATGCTCGGTTACTCATAAATGTGCTATAACTTAGCGCACATTTATCGTGAAATCTCTAAATTTATGACAGTAGCGTTGGGTCTTCTTGATGAAGTACCTGTATGCCCACAGTGCCCGATCCTCCTGCGTCTTTGACATGAGGCCTTCGCACGTCAATGAGCGAATCAAAGTATCGGCCGTGAATCACAAGTACGGTGGTATTTGTTCATGTATTTCAGATGCACTACACTACTGAGGTGACTTGCTATCAACGTTTAGTGTGTTACCCAAAGTACTTCAGTAATTGGTCTTGTATGCCTTTGCAGCTGGCTCGGCGCTCTTGTGGAAAGGACTGCTCATTTGAGTAGCACAGCAAAAGCCAAAGCGTTCGAAGTCGCATGGATCTAACGTAGGACATACTTACACTTCGCTTTGTGTTGAATCGCGTCACGTTATTTGCAGCGGGGCTGCCGTAGCTTTAGCGTCAGAGGAAGACGTTCGACTCAAAGAGTCACTAATACTAAGTTCCTTATCCAAAGGACACTTACAGCCCAAGACCAGGGCTCAAAGTTAACACCTTAACTTTTATGCTTCAAAACCAGAAGTGTTTTATTTACTATTATTGCGGCCAAGCCGCCTAGGGGTATATGTATCTGTTTAACTATCTAGCATAGTTAAACCTAATCAAATGCATAACGTGTGGCTTTCGGCCAACGTACTGAGAGACCTTGTTAACTCTCCAACTTATGTACTGAGAGTTTGATAACTCCCCGGGTACTTTGTACCCCTGTGTGTTCCACATTATGTAACCCCGTTACATTATTCACAAGCGCGTATGCTCGAGCCAATATCATCACTCCGCAACTTGCCCCATCGGTTGGATGGGGTTTCGCAGCATCTTCTTCTTTACTTTGGGAAGCTTGAGTAAGGGAAGCGTAGGCTGGTTGTTCGAAGCACGATTTTTATTCCACTCCACTCGCTGCTTGATCCAGTCCTTGTGCCATTGCTGAATAAATGCATACATCCCGTGGTCCCATTCACGCTCGGTTTCCGTCTCGTACTTGCCAATAGGGTCGTACAATAATACCGAAATCTTCTCTTTGAAACCGACTTTCGCAACAAGAAGAGTCCAATGCTCGCATGATATGTTGCACGGGTACACTAGATATTTCATGAGAGACAAGTCCTCTACAATTTCGTCTCCGGTTGGGGTCCTTTGGTCTTGGATAGTGGGTGTTGAAGGCCACGAAGCCAACCCAAAACTAGCTTCAAAAACACGGCAGCTATCTCGCAGATCACACAAATACTGCAGGCACATTTGAATCACTGTGTCCGTGAGAAAGCAATTGCGAGCTACCGAGCCGACCACATCGTTGAAAGTCACCGAAAAATTTCCCGATGGCAGCATGAATGCAGTCTGAAAGCTCGCCGATTTGTACTTGGCGATAATATCATCCCCACAACCTCGATCACGACCGCCTTCCCGTCCGGAATTTATGTGAGACTCTAAACTAAAAAGCCCCACTTCGCCATTTTCTTCTTTTTTCCACGACATGCTCAACCAATTTACATCCTTCTCCCAAGCAGTGCAAATGCGTGATATAGAATAAAAGTTCGTGAGACGGAATACAGCTCGTCTACATACAACAAGCAATGTAACTTTCAGTTTTCACACCAGGGGAAACGTATTGCAAAGATGTACCGCGTGAATTTTTTACGCAGTTCGCCGTAGCTCACAATGAGTTCCGTGTGCCGTTGAGAGTGCTCTTCGTTATTAATCGACCTCAGTTGATTAATAACTGCGGGTTTGCTCTCTTTCCTGGTTCGAAACTCGTTCCATAGGCCTCGCTATCTCTATCGGAACCACGAAATTATACTCGAAATCTGCCGGACAAACCAGTTCGCGGCGACAAACGGGTTCCCGTCCAAATAAGAAAGCGTCGGTCATTGCACGAGGATACGCATCGAGAATCCTTTTGACAACACTAAAATCTGAAGTAACACTAGCACACCGGAGTAGATCAGATAACTGGACCGAAATATTAGGCCAGGAAATTATTGCTTTCCGCGGTGCAGGAACTAGTTGGATCTGCTTCATGGATTTTCGTGTCGTGTTGCGCTTCTTGTTTGCTGGTAGTTTAAGAACATCTATATCACCATTTCTCCGAGTACTCAACGCAAAGCTCCCGACTTCACACTCGGCAATCTTGTTGTGATCCTTTGTTGCTCGACACGCTAAGGTAGAATTATTTGCTGGATTCACCATTACCGAAGCTGTTCGTCCACAACTCTCTGACCTGTCAGCGCTGTTTAAGCTAGTGTCAGGTGTCCGTCTGCCGCTGCTAGTGTTGTTGGGAGCCCCGGTACCCCTGCGATAATCGCTGTTGGTGTCTGCATCAACTTCACCGATCATATCATCGTCATTCACTCCGAACTCGAATACATCAAAGAACGAGCAGTTTTCTGCGTCATCTTCATCTCAAACGTTTGAAATATCAGCATCCTGCGGGTCAGCTGTTCTATCATCATTCTCATGCGCAAAATCCTGGACGCCATCTCCAGTGCTACCATCGCTGCAGCCCGAGGAATCACTATGCCGAAGTGACTTCGATAAAATTTTATCCCAATTACCAAGATGTTCGTAAAATTTCTTCGACGACATATTTGATAGCTGGTTCAGCAATGGCTCAAGCGGAGCAAGCGCATAGCGATATATTTCTGCAGATGAGAGAACTACCATTTCAGCCTTTTCCCTGCGTCTCAGCTTCATGAACTCCACGTAACTTGGTTTGGGATTTATCGCTTTGGGAAGTGGATGAGTTTGTGGATCAACCTCTTGGTCACTGTCATCAACATGAATAACACTCTTCACTCCGACTTTCTCGTTAGAATTTACAGATACTGAGCCGAGTGCTGTTGATATTCCATGCACGCCGTCTGAAAGGAGGTGAAAAGCTCTGAGCTAACGCAAATATTCCAGCGTGCAATAACGGCGCTATCTGGGAACTCTGGCAGTCGAAGTCCATCTCGCGCTATCATCAGAAGGTGACGGCAAGGTAATTTAATACTGCTGTGAAATAGGCATGAACAGCTCCACACCTCTGAATCGCAAACGTAAATATGGGAGTTTGAGGTGACCTCCCACTTCGAAGTATTTCCATATCGGGTGCAACGAGCTCCATCCATAATCGTATGCAAAAGGTCCCATTCTCGACGGACACGCTGATACGTGTACTCACTGGGCACCGCTGATATTGGACGCAGATAGCTTGGTACTGCATCTGCCTGACGGGAGCGTGACGATGACAAACGCAACGCGTTTGCAAATTGCCGCATAACCGCTACCTGATAACACAAAAGACCTCCAATCGTTCCATCCAAACCCGGACGGTAACTCAGCAGCGCCTTTAGTTGGTTCCAATTAGCTTCCACTCGATTCGTAGTTGTATTGCCAGCCGAAAAATAACGCGACCGAACGTAGCAAGCCCACATAGTGCTACATGTCTTCCAGTTCTTATCGAAATAGGATAGTATGGCGGGGCATTTCCCCTCACAAAAGTTCTTAAACTCGTAGTAGTTCTCATCAAAAGCTGACTTGCTGTAGCGAAATCACATTAGACGTGTACACTGAGCATTAATTCACGTAGAACCAGCACTAAACAATATCAGGGCTGCGCACCTCTTTAGCATCATCAAAAAGAACTTCTCGATCTCCTTGCGATCCGAAACGCGTAGGTCAAACTGGCGCCGACGGAGAAGCTTCTTCCAGTATGTGATTGCGTGGTATTGACATAGTAAAACCTTCACCTGCGGAAAACACCGTTCTAAAACCCGCCATTCAACGAAATCTTTATCGATGACAACCGTTTGTATCTGTTTCCAGCCAGGATTCTTTGCCTTGAAGAAGTTGAGAATATGTTCCATGGATATAGCTTGCTCATTTAACGTGACGAAGTCTAACACTGGGATGCCTCGCCCAGCTGGTCCAGTCACCAGCAAGCTCCCTACAAAACAGAACAATCAGTTTTAATAAACCTGCTCGCACAACATTATTGCATGTAATGCCTACCAAGATGATATCCCAGATTATTAGTGGAGTGCGTCCAGTCCATCAGTAGAGAGTCACCCCACTTCGCAAATATTTTTCTGTATCGACGTTTGAATCACAATTGCAGACGTGATAGACATCTGATCCTGCAAGAGCAAGACACTGTTGCCACTAACTCCACCGAGAGCATCAAGTAGTCGCTGTAATTTTGCTTCTGCCGAGCTTTCCCAACAAGCCGCTGAATAATATTACAAGCCTGCTGAGGCGTGACAGGTCGTGCTACAAACAAACTTACGTAAGTTGTGATTCTGCCCAATAAATTTAGATATAAAACGCCATTACCTAGACTAGACGACAAAAATTGCGTGATTTTGCGAGGCTCCCCACCTACAGTTACCATGTCGACGACATGATCTCCGACTTCTGGGTGGGCATCAATTGATGCTGCACCTATATACGTGGATGCAATTGCTGAATTGGCAAGGTGGTTGTGTGTTCTAGTCTGTTTCAAACAAACCAAAGTATCCTTAGCAGAACCATGGATACCTTAAAATTAATAAAA